CTGAATGACTCTGGTGGGGCTCCTCTCCTTTCCTCCAGGTTTGACAACCTATTGATATTTTCCATTCCCCACTGCTCACAGAAAGCAATCAATTAAGGCTGCATGCTCGCTCCCGTACTTTTGGGGGCTTTTTGCCAGTGCCAGTGGAAGTATCTAATGACATCGTGAGGGGATTATTCACTCCCTTCCTCGCTGCAGAGAAGCTCCCCAGCCTGCAGTTCTCCTGTGCTCATGGAAACTAGACAATCCTCTCCCCCCCGAATTCCTTTGTCTGGTGATTGCATCCTGATGGCCCACTCAGCTGAAGACAGAGTGTTCAGCACTAATCACTTTGCACATGCAGTCAATTGCTTTGATTTCATGATCAGCCTGAAGCAGACCCAACTACCTCACAGCCTGTGGCACAGGGACACACAGCCCACCCAGTTATTATGACAATTGTTTGTCTCCAGGCTGGGAAGAATTTTTTCTCCCTGGGGAACAGACCAATGCAGAAGAGATGGACAGTGCACAGCCACAGCCTGGCAGGCTGTCCCACCCCCCGTGGCATGCATGGCACTCGGCACCACGCTGCACGCTGGTGGGCAGATATCTCAAAGCAGTCGTACACCTTCTGTAGCGCAGAATAGCTATAAGGACACTCGGTCACTTCAGTGCCTTTGTTTGCAAAATAAAACCATAAAATAAGAAACCCAATGATGAAATTTACTATTATCAAATATTTGTCTGTAGGCACATTCTCTGAAATGTCGTACTCTACACGCTTTGTTTAGATGGCCAGCTTGAAAATACCAGTCATCCACAGTCACTGGCACTCTAACGGCAGTGAATATAAATGCGCAATGCTGGCTTGAAATCAAACCTGAAATCATACCGTGTCATTTCATAGAATCATAGGATGGTTTGGGTTGGAAGGGACCTTAAAGATCATCTAGTTCCACCCTCCCTGCCACGGGCAGGGACACCTTCCACTAGACCAGGTTGCTCAAAGAAGCAATAATCCATCATGGAATGCTTAAGGAAATTTGTACTATTGCCATAAAGTATCTCCAAAGAAAGTAAGAGCGCATTTCCTATGAAAAATGCGAGCAGTATGAAACAAAAACCTAACAATGTGAACAGTTGTGGTCAGTCCTGCCTGAAAATATTTCTGCCACGATGGCATCAACCTGCTCCCGCACAGGCATTCACATCAGTAGGGCTTGTCCTACTCTCAGTGCAGTGACCCTTGCTGTGATAGTTCACCATGGTCATCAGCAAGAGTTGGAGACAACCTCTGGTAGGGAGGCCAACCCCATGGAAACCTTCCCTGATCATATGCCCAACGTGTCCCAACACTCCTCTGTGACTTTCTTCCAGTCGACACACATCTTATTTGAATTCTCCAAACCAGACCTGGTACACTAGGTGAGGCCTTGTTATTTTGAGAACAATGAAAGGCTTATCTCAGGTGGCCTATATTCAAAACTTTTGCTTAGACACCTTCCCCTCAGTGTCTATTTTGTGGTCCACTATAACCTCAGACACTGTTTTGCAGAACTGCTGCATAGCCAGAAACTTCTGCAAGTGTGCGGTAGGCTTTTGTCACTTAAGTACTCTTACCTGGTTGCACTGATTGAACTTGATCATCTTTCAGGTATTTTTTTTAATCCATAAAAACAATCTCAAGTTTTAATCCCATCTTTGGAAGTGATTAAATTATCTCCCCTAGATATAACCCGCTAATTTACTAACCATCCTGAATATATTGCATCATAATTTGAAATGACCGAATAACACCAAAAGCAAGACAGGTCCCTACAGAACATCAACTGCTGTATTTTTCCAGCTTGATGATGAAAGACTGATAGCATTTTTTCTGAACAGTTTAACCAGTTTTGCTGTATTTTATAACTTCAAATGAGGCCATTATTTGTTGCTTTGCTTTTAAAATGTCATCTTGAAGCAGCTGTTTCTCTCCTTTATCCCGAAACTCATTATACTGCTTTTCAAAAAAATTGTTTCAGAAGTGTGTATTATTAACGAATTTTTATTAGTAGATGTAAACCTAGGTCTAGAATTTTTTTTCACTATTTAATTCAATTATTATCCCTTTTCTGTGAAGCCTGAAGGAAAAAGACATTGAGCATTTCAGTTTTCCCTAGATTTACTATTTGCTCATTCTTTTGTTAAATAATGGACTCAACTTTCCTTCCTTTCTAGTATGGGATTTACTAGCATTTTGCAGTCGTAAATTATTTTTTTTGTTTTTCTGTCCCTTTTCACACATACCTGTTCTGTCTTTTACATTTATCCATAGCAACATATTCTTCCTTTCTACTCTTGTTGATTTCTCTGTTTAAAGAACTTCTGATACAGTCATAATAGCCTCTTACTACGCTCCCTGGTTTCCCACTGCATTGCCATAATTTGTCATTACGTGTCCTTTTATTAGTTCTCAAAGATTATAATGATTTATCATTCTGATTGCTTCAGCCATTTTATAAAGTATTCTAGAGAGAATTTAATCTATCCCTACTTAGGTGAGAATTTCCAGCTTTTCAAAATGTGTCTTTTCAGAGAATATGTGCTCTCCTGAACTCTGCTCCTCTCCTTCAGATACCTCCCTGGGGAACCACCCTTACCAAACCTTTTGTGTACAGAAGTAAGCTGATTTGAAGTCCAGGTAAATTCTGTTGTATAGGTTGCCATGTTTGCCTAAAATTACAAAATTCCAATTTGTAACTAAGATCAAACCACTTTCTTCTTCCAGATTAGCAAACAATTCCTCACTAGTCAGAACCAAACCTAAAATAGTCACCCTCAAATTACATCCTCCATGAGAGAGAGTCCTTCCTCATCTCCAGAACCAAACCTAAAACAGTCACCCTCAAATTACGTCCTCCATGAGAGAGAGTCCTTCCTCATCTGTATGAACATTCGTACAGTTTGCACCCTGCAGTAGCATTTTCTGTATGTATTACAAAGAAAACATCTGTTCAAACATGGATGGCAAGGCAAGCCTTTCAGGGTAACTGATCTGTCACCTAACACGTGATGTTTTACCTTTCTTAAACGTAAATACTCTCTGCTACTCTTCAGTCACAGAAAATTATCAAGTTTTGGTAGCAGCTAGCATTTCTTGGGAAGGAATACGAGTTTTTTTGTTCCAGTATTATTAAGAATAAAGCCAGAAGTAAAAATGGCTGCATATGATATTCCGGACAAGTTCTAGTTCTGACCATTAACTCTCATCTCTAATACTGGAAGCAATGAGGCTACTATGTAGGTCCACGTAATTCATACACATTACAGAGTAAACATATAAAGAATGTCACAAGCCTGGAAAAAAATCTCCTTTTCCCACCAGAATACTTAGTCCACTGATGACATCTATTCCTTTTAATTGAACAGGTTAGATTTAGAATCCAATACCAAACAGAAGAAAAAGCAGCAGTGCAGTATAGAACAGGCTGGTACTTAGGCTGGACAGAAAAAAAATAATTTTGATTAACTAATACCCATCTTTAAAAGTTGCTTCACTTGTTAAATGAGTTGTTAAATTAGTTTTGAGACTGAACTTTGGATTAATAAAAGGTGCTGGTTAAATGAGTGCTTACAAATGACTCTAAACTGAATAAAAGAATTTAGTAGTTTTGGTCTTAGGAGGAAAACCTGTTAAATACATGGGCCACTGGGAACCAGTACAAAGGTCAGCATAAAGATTTGTCCAGCCAAATGAAACAACAGAAATATAAAATTAATTCAGTTATTTCTAAAGTGTCAACACTGTAAGTACAAAAAAATAAATGCAGAAGCTGGAAGAACACCACCACCATTCAGTAGATTTAAACTTATTCTTTATGATGCACTTTCATCAAAATTTGTAGTTGCCCAGGTATCAAATTTCATTCATGCAACATCAATCCACTAAGAAATACATATTTTGGTGAGAAAATTAAAGTCCATATTTATGTAAAAACTGTTTTGAAATAAAAATAAAACAAGATTTATTTTTACAAAAAAAATCTTTTTTCTTTTTCCTTAACAGAATAATTATCTGGAAAAAGTTAATTTCTGACATGAGATAGTTAAAGGAAGTTAAATATATTTAAAAATGGAAGATTTTGCATTTACATAGTCATATGCCATTAATATTGAAGATATGTTTTCTGGCAAAAAACTTTTCATGCTTAAAAAATGCACCTTAATTTTATACTGTACATTACAAGATACAGTAGTAAGAAACAGAAGTAGTAAACAGGTTATATGCAAAGAAAAAAGTTACATTACAAGACAGTTACAACTGTGACACAAAAAATTAAAATGTCCAGTTTTAACAGTATCTGAAGGCAATTCACAATCATTTCAGGAGTTTTGTGAAATTTAAGGCCATTAGTTTTAAATAAAATGTATCTGACACAAACTCACAAAACAGTGTATTTTGTAAAAACTGTACATGCAAAACCATTTCATAGTTATATATGAACAGGCATATAATAAAATTTTTGGGTAGTTCCGTACACAAAATTGTGCACAAAGCAACACGGTTGTGCAATTTTTAAACCAGTTAATTAACATTATAATTCATGCACCCCAAATGGAAATGTGATTAAATGACAATATTAAACCCAAATATTAAGAGCCAGCATCCCTTTGAATGGGCAATCTAGACAAAAAAAAGCTAAGATTTTAAATTAAGTTTAAAATGGTCCATTATAAAACATCTGCTGTAATCACTCCAAAATACTTTTCTGATGCAAAATTTCCAGTGCTTTAAGGAATGCATGATAAGATTTAATGAGCTCAGTGAGTCAACTGTAATACTCTGATAGTTCTGATTTGAGGTAATTTTCTTTAATTACTTATAGCAAGTAACTCTTCTAATTTGCTTCAGTAACTAGTTTAAAAAACTGTAAACTTAGATAAACTTAGAAATTGGAGAATCTCTGAAAAAATACACATACCTCCCCCTCAAAGTTCGGAGTTAGACATAAGCCATTTGCAATTACATTATTCACATTTTAGGAGTTTAGTCTCAAACTGTGAGATGAATGGATTACTGAGCACTGATTGAAGCAATTCAGGTATTGGAAAACACATATATTTGTCCTTTTCTTAGCTTTCATTTCTATTTGTCTGGACAAACATTCAAAGAGATATTGCTTCTCTTGTGACAAACTATTGCAAGCTAGAAGACATGTGAGTCAATATTCCAAACTTTTATTCTTAAGAATAGTTATAAAAGTACTGAAATTTAAAAATAGTAACATGTAAACATTGATACAGAGTAATAGCATTCCTATACATTTATATACACACAGTATTCAGAGAGGACAATATCTTCTGAGTTGAAATCCTGACTTGTGCTTTCCCCTCCAATAAATACATCAAAAATTACGGTTTTTTATTAAAAAAAAAAAAGACTCAGAGAGAACATTAACATTTCGCTCCTATCATTTAAAAGCTTTCCAGTTGCTCATGCAACCATAGGTGAATTTTGGTACGTGAAGAGAATTTTTCTAGCTTCAAAAAGTTATCAGAGAAGCTACTGCTGCATCCAGAGACTCTTGACTTGTGACAAATGCTAAGCACTTCCGAGCAGTCATATCTGAGTCTGCAACACGTGAATTGGGGGTGTATAGGGTGGTGGGGCAGGTGATGGCTTTATTCCTCTGACTCTCATGTAGGACAGAAACTGCTCTGGGATCTCAGCTAAAACATCTTTAGCAAGTCTTGCCATGCTTAACACGTGGTTTCCACTTCTGTCAATGTAATCTCGGAACGGCACAAACTACAAAACAAAAGAGACATTCACACAGGTCATTATGCAGACACAATACATCTTACAACACAAAAATCAGAAAGTTTTACCTAGGGACTTAGAGTACATGAATATGCTACCTTACACATTTTATATATACATATACATATTTTGTATTTTATATTATATATTTTATATACACACCTTGTAGCTCAATTTTTAAAAATTTGTCTTCTAATAGAAAGTGTCATGCTTTCACTTGCGTGAAGCTCTTCACATAAGCCATGGCTAGCTCGGACTGCTAATTATGTGTTTCATTTGTATATTTGGTTTCTCTCTTAACCCTTTTCATGCAAGAAGGGAATCCTGTCTCAGAAAGCTAGTCTCAGCTTACATTTCCTGCTTGTGGGGCTCTTCTACCAGACTGCCTCTGCTCTGGCAGTTTGTGAATATAATTTTTACCATCTGAAGTGAGCAAAACAAAGGATGACTTTATATTCTTGACCATTTTACATTATACCTGGTTGAACTATAAACCAACACTTTTTATATGATACTAACAAATGCATAAAGAATATAAGCAAAAAGGATTAGATTCAAAAAAGAACTTGTTATGTGATACCCAGCTCTGGCTTGGATTTCATAATAATTAAGGAGATGCTTGTGCTACTGGTACAGAACAAACCCCCCCACAATCTAGGCTCCTTGATTTTTATTCACAACAGACACCATGCAGAGATGTAGTGGGTTAAGCCAGACAACAGGTTATGCCAAAGGGAAGGCTGATTTGAAATTCTGCTTCTTGCTCGGACTTTGGCCCCAATCTCAGGGCAACAGCTGGGTAACTTTTCAAAATTGGGATGCAATGTCCAAAGCAAATTCTGGTACTGATCTGCCAGGCTATACTGTGTTGGAATTCAAAGCCTAATGGTGCCTTCCACCCTGCAACAGGGAATATTTAAGTGTTAACTGTTGTACTCCAGGATAAAACTAGAACTGATTGAGAAGTCAGACCCATAGATCTCTCATCTCCTGGCTGAACACTAAAATCTGAAGTCTGTCTTGCTCGTTATACCAATCAAATTTTGCTTTCTTGGATGCGCAGCAACCAAGGCTATAGATCAAATTCAATTTTTCTAAAAGCACTGAAGTTTTCAAGATTTAGGGGAACATTGAATTACAGTGCAAGTTTAGCCTACACTGTATTTCTGAGATCCTGAGAGTTTTCCAGAAAAGACAGAAATAAACAAAAGAAATCTACTAAAGATATTAAACAAATTAAAAAAAACCCCAACAAAACAACTCGGGGAACAAACCCCAAATCCCCACCAACCAAAAAGCAAAGACAACATTTCAGCAATAAAGACTTTGAACTTAATTAAATCATTTTTACAACAACTTTGGAAAGCACTTCTCACCTTGGACTTCTGAAGCCTATCAAGGCATCAGTCTCCTACTAAGAGGCATTTAGAATTCAAGAAAGAGATGACTCTTTGCATAACTTTCCTGAAAGGGACCTCAAATTGCCAGAAAAAAGGTTTCAAGCCTAGGTATTTGAACTCTGTTGAATTAAACTGAAACCTGTCACCAAACTGAGTGTAAACAGATACTGATTAGGGCATTTCCCCAGGAAGCAGCAGATCTGCAGTTTCTTAGAAGATGATGACTTAGTCACAGAATTGGTGAAGCTACAAGTGACCTCTAGAGATCCTTCAGTCCAACCTTGCTGCTCAAGCAGAGTCAGCTAGCACAGATTGCCATACTCAACAAGACTACAAGAGTAGTCAGCAAGACTTATTCAATGAGAGCAGGCTTTATCCCAGACAGGAGCATCCTCTACTTCTTCACTGTGTTGCATCCAAGAATGTATCAGGCATAAGGGCAGGAGAACAACAGGCAAAAAACCACTTGATTTTAGGGTATTAAGCCAGGAAGCAAGGTATCTGCAGTTTCACAATTAGCTGTCTTAACAATTTCTGTGTTTACTCAGTAACTCTTCAATACAAGAGACAAGCACATACTGTGACATTTACTAGTACTGACGACTCCATCTCATGAAAAAAGTTCTAGCAGTTTTCAGAAGCCAGCCCAGCGCTGCCCTGTTTCAAGCTGTTCTTCCTTCTTAAACTCCATTAGCTTTTCTGTAAGAATACATCTGACTGTCTCTAGAAGCATGAAGTTAGAAAAACAACAAAACAAAACAAGCATCTCTGTAGCCTGCTGGTTTACACATTCATCTGGGAAGTGGTAAGCTTGGTGTTCTTTCCCCCTCAGAGGGTTACTAATTTTCTAACGCAATGTCAGTCTTACATAAAAAGCACATGCAGCCTGAGTTAAAGAACAAAATGTCTCTCATCCCAAAAGATCACCTTACCCATTAGTCTTCAGACATGAAAACTCAGACCACTGTTCTGCAGCAAAGGGAGGCTATTTCAACAGTGTAATTGTAGAAATGCAATTATACAATATGGATGGCCTGAATTAGTTCTGCCTTCCCTCTCCTTATGGTATATAGATGCCAGAGAATCTGGAGAAACTATGGACAGTTAAGCACACATACAGATACACAGGGACAGCTGGCAATGACAGCAAGGCCTAGAGCTAACACGTAGAAGACGTAGAGGTGTCAGAGGAATAGAATGACAGATATAAGAGAAACCAAAGGGAAACAGAGGGAATGTAAAGTGCTTTTTCTATAGTTTGAGAATTTAATTTAAGAGGCCAACTTACAAAATTTTCAAGAGAAACAATAGGTACATTACTATGAATAAGTATTTTCCCAAAACTTTTAAACAGAAAAATTATAACAAAGGAGCAAAAACTAAATAAATGGAGGAAGAATTGGTACACATGTAATACAGAGTCCCTACAATACATAAGTGTACTAGCAAGGAGGCAATAACGAAGGTCATGTCTTTACATGAATTGCAGTCAGTAGTAAACATGATAGATACAGTGACTCACTGTTAGCAGACAATTTTTTCCTTTACTAATTTAATTAAAATATTTCACCATACTGACTTAAAATTAACAGTTAATTTCACTAGCTAATTTTAACTAACCTAATACACAAAAAAGACAAACTTTTTATATCCGAGTAGTTAATTTTATAAAAGCAAAAAAGGTCTTATCCTGCCAGATATAAAATAAAGGTCATACTAAACCTAAAGGGTTTGACATTATCCCTTTTTATTTATTCATCTAGCCTATAATGTGTTTGTTAGTATTTAGACAGAAAAAGAACACAAAGTAATACTGCCTTCAGGTAATTCAATATGGCTTGGGGTAAAGTTCTGATTGAAATATGTTAGTAGTGAATAAATGTTTTATTACATTTCTGATATGCAATGAATTCTAAAGAAATACAAAAGTGTATTTATTGCATATTATTTTTTATTTCTCATCAGAAATTTGAATATTTTTGATGCAAAGTATTTTCACAAATCTTGATTATAACATTTGAAGAACATTTATGCTCTTTGAATGTAAAACCAGCAGCTTTTGGAGCTGCTCTTGTTTGGAGAAATTATACATAATTAGGTTGTATATATTTAAATATATTTAAACATAAGTGCAATGCATGTCAGAGATGTCTGAATTAGCTTTAAAAAATCTGACATGGCACAGGGCTTTGCAGAAATACTAGTCTGGGGTCCAGAAACACTTCCAGATCTGGAGGCAGATCTCCACATATTGCTCTGTTGAACAGCACTGACATATACAGCATAACAGATTACAGACAGCCCCCCTCTCACCCAGTATGGACTACCAAGGAACATTATAAAGGCGCTGACAAAATGAGAAACATTATTTCTTTCCTCCTGTTCAGCTGTCCAGCTTCTCCTCATTCTACTAATCAACAACAATACAAAAATCCAGCCTGGTTAGGAGAGAAATAAGTGAAAATAGGCAAGAGGAAAAATAAGTGAAGACTATGAATTTTGACAAATAGGAGGAATAAAGGGAGAAGAAGAAATGGAAGGCCCAGGGAAAGGTTTGAACCCAAGGATGTCCGTCAGTGTTTAAGAGGTATTTGGACAATGCCCTTAATAATATACTTTAACTTTTGGTCAGCCCTGAAGTGGTCAGGCAGTTGGACTAGATGATCGCTATAGGTCCTTTCCAACTGAAATGTTCTGTTTCATAAGTGTATTCACAAACTTCCAGGAAAACATGCCTTCCATAAAATATTTAGTTTTAGATAGATATCATTCTTTCTACAGTCATCAAGTTGATCCAATTTTTCAGTAGTCTGCTGCTTTTCAAATATCAACTTCTTTAATACTTTACTATAGCAAGCAGGCTTAGAGTGTTGAGCCATCAAATATATTTATCTTTGTTTCATTCCACTTTACTAGTCCATAAAAATAAAATTATTTGATCAAGAAAATAATTACGAAATAAAGTCTGTCCGGGGGGTAGGTAATCAGGAGGCAAGATGGGGTGCCTGGAGCATGGATGAAGAACATACTTTTGACAACCTGTGGAGTTCTAGAAATCTGCAGCTCTGAAGGGAAGGGAAGGTGTATATGTACCTGCAAAACTGCTATACCACCCTGCCAGCAGTTGCAGAGGTTTCAATGACAACTACTGGGCTGACTGAATGGCTGTAAAGAGTGGGAACAGAACCAGAGGACTTTGTCAGAAAAATTGAAGTGTCTGTGGAATGCAGATGAGAGTTGCACTCTTAGGGCTTGGTTCAGGCATGTAAACACAGATCACAGAAACTTTGTGTTGGAAGGGACATTTAAAGGTCACCTAGTCCAACCCCCCTGCCATGAGCAGGGACAGCTTTAACTTGATCAGGTTGCTCAGAGCCCTGTCCAACCTGACCTTGAATGTTTCCAGGTATGGGACATCTACCACCTCTCCGGGCAACCTGTTCCAGCTATCATCTGAGGTTTCTTAAACCATGAGATATCTGTATAGTCATATGTGGCAGACACAACATAGGAACTGGGAGACATGGTCTTCTGGACCGGCAGTTAGAGGCAAGGAAAGATAACCTAGGCATCTCAAATGAACTTGTTAGAAGTCCAGGGATTACTGACTTCCACAAAAGTTGCAGTTTTGCTTTATGGAATCATAGTGAGATTGCAGTACAGAGGCAACTAAGTCTTCTCCTGTGGCTTTATAACCCTGACTTTATATCAGTATGGTGCCAGTTAGAGGTAATTTCCTCATGAATACAGATCCAGTACTATGTGTTATATAAAGGATTACAGGTATCACAGAGAGCTTGTTATGAACACCCCAAGACAAAATATGTCAGTGCTAAGGTAAATGGAAGGCAGGACTCTAGATAGAAACAAGAATTCAAAACAAACAGGGTCAGTAAAATCTAACTATTAGAGTACATTTTCTCTCCCACCTGCACAATGTCTCTTTCTGCAAATTTCCCTCTTGAAGAAATCCTCACTACATCACCATCCAGTTCTTCCATAGCTTTAAAAAAAAAAAAAAAAAAAAGAAAGAAAATTAATTCAACTATGTGTTCAGCTACACAATAAAAACAATCTTACTGAGAAAAACTTTAGTCAATCTATGCTTTAAGGCAACAAACCCAACAATTGTTGGTTAGCTTCTCCTGCCCCTGCAGACCCTGGCACAGCAGAGAAGCTAAAAAGTCCTTGACTGTTCTGGCAGCAATTATAAACATCAGTATGTTATATTGCACAAATCCAAAACACAGCCTCTTACTAGCTACTGTGAAGAAAGCTAACTCTGTCCCAGCTGAAACCAGGACAGTAACTCTTTAAGATCATTTGCACCATAAAATACATAATTTTTAAATGTTATTTCTTCTTCTTGTTTTCATACTCCTAGAATATTTGTACAAGAATGAACATGTACAGTCATTAGTGTATTTACATTATATATCTGTGGTAGTATTAAGTATATTCATGTATAAAAGAAGGCATACTGTCTAACGAGAAGTACTAGAATTAAAAAGAAAGGACGTAGGACTTTGAGGAACAGATAATACAGGGCATGTCTACACTTCATAGTGCAGTGACATAGACAATGGCACTTAATAGATTAGTCCAAATAACCACAGCAGCTTCGTTACTGCAAGAGAGAATGGTGTTCCGGGACATCACATGAAAGAATATGTAAATAATCCTGGTACTTTCTCTCCTGCTGTAATATTCTCTCAATGCTGCTACACAGTAGGGCTCACTCCTGTTACCTAGTGAAACCCAGTTTAACCCAGATCACCTCCTCAAATGTATTTATTTTTCACAGTATTTTATTACTGCAATAAGAACATCTGTTCTTACAATAGTCCAATAGTTCCAGTCAACTGACACTGCACAAGGCAACTAAACATCCATGTTGAAGAAATTCAACATTACCTGAGTATGTTTCTCTACTGTGGGTTTTTTTTTTTTTCCACTCATCTTCTGCAGCTCTGTAAATGCTGAGCCCCCATATGGTTCTGTGACTTGAACAGAGCGCCTCAGGGGCTACACAGCTCCACATGGTAGCTTGTAACCATACTGAATTATCAATTAATCCATCTGGAAATGTCAACAGTACTTACTGCTTGTTCCATATTATGCTCTTTTAAAGAACAATATTTGTTTGAAAAGCCACATATTACTAAAATGTAAACAAATATGAAAAATTCTATGAAAAATGCTAGAACACTTACCATCAAACTCTGCTGGTCCTACCCCCACTATAATTATTGACATTGGAAGCTTTGAAGCCTTCAAAAGAAGAAGAGGTTTAATGCATTACATCATAATCTCTGCCAATAATGTGTGAGATCTGAAGACAATTTTAATAAAAATCTGCAAAAGTTATGTTCATAAAAAGCAAAGACAGCAAATATTCCCAAACTTCCGCTCGCTCCAAGCTAACAAGACATCTGCTGTATTTCCAGACAGTTGCAGACTAACAGCTATTAGTCCTGGATATGACCTATCACTGTAAACAAGGTTTTTCTGTATGTCTTAGTGGCAAATTTCTTAATCTTACAAGATATCAGCCAACTGAACTTGCTGGTCTCTTACTCAGGGACTTCAAATTGAGGGGTGAGTTAAATCAAAAGCTGCTCTTTTTTGCTCCATGGAGCCTTTCTGTCACCTAAAAGCAGCTCATCTAAAAGAAGCTATGGTCCAAACCTCTATGCTAGAATGGAGGATGAACTTCCAAGCTAAAAGCTTATCTCCTTTAAAAGTGAGTAGGTTTATCCTATTTTAATATTGGAAGCTGGAGAGGAAGTAAACTGGAACATTCAAACATAGTTATAGCTTTGGGTGTAAAAACTTACCAGGTTGCTTGTCAAAGTCCCCATTAACACACAGACTCTATCTACATACTTCTGACTAGAACCTGAGGGTGCCTTGCTCTCCCGTGAAAGACAGAACATTTCAGTAATATTTTCATGTGCACCCTACAAACTGGAATGTTACTGTATCTCTGCAGGAGGCAGTGAAACAGGGCCTTCAAAAATATGCCACCTAATTCTATACCACTCATTTTGACATGATGCTTAATTATTTTAATGTAGGCTTTTCACCTGCCACTTCACTATTAACTAGATCCACTGTGGTACGTTCAAAACTATTGGTACAGATCTTTTCAAACTCTGTCTGGAAGTTGCTTCTGTGTGTACTTTCATCTGACATTTCCCGGGGCAAAAGCAAAATGTAAACTGTTCATAATACAGAATATTACTTACATGGATAGTAGTTTTGAAGAGAAAAATACTGAAAATAATGCAGAAACTGAGAAACAATTAAGAATTGTTTAGAAGGAAATCAGATGACTGGTACGCTTGCCATTCCAGATCAGAAAGTTTGGGACAGTTTTTAAAAAAGGGGGGAATCAAAGCTCTCTGCAATTACTAGAAAGATAAAAACCAGTTCACTATGAAAAACTGCATGGTGGGATGTGCATGAGGAAGGAGGAGGAAAGAAACAGACGAGGAAAATTATATGAACAGTGTTGGAGAGAAGAGTATCTTTTCCTACAGAACACTACCTAGTTAAGCTGAGATTCAACTTTTGCTTTCTTTTTGGTTTTATGCATAAGAAACTTTTGGTGTTTGGAAAAAAATGAATACTTCATAGAACAAATTTAGTGCCTGAAATATAAACTGATTTAGTTTATTGCCTAAAATATTAATTCCTAGAAATATAATTTTTAAAAATTTCAACACTTTCAGCAAAACTTACATTCACTATGGATTCTTTCGTCTGAGCCATATCAGAAATAACTCCATCTGTAATAATGAGAAGAACAAAATACTGGGAGCCATCTTTTACTGAAGCAGCATATCTAAGGGAAGAAAAAACAACATTGTAATAGTAAAAAAACCGTTATGAAAAGGAACTAACATGCAGTAGATTTCAAAAAGAAAGGCATTCATAATTAACGTGGACATTCTACTTTTAAATGAGAATGTCAGAAAAACATAACTAATGCAATATTGATACTGATAATCTACATGTGTTGAATCAGTGAAAAATTGGAACTCTATCACTACCAAGAGGAGCATGGACAGAATGTCCTTTATAGAATCATGACTCATTAGAAAGTTGAAGCTATTTAACAGTTATTACTTCTGGGGAATATAGTGGGGTATGAGGAGCATGCATTAATATTGAGTGGTTGGTTTTGTAGCACAAACAAAATTTACCAGGAATCAGCACATTGCATAAATATTCCTTTTTTTTTTTTTTTTTTTTTTTGGTCTTACAAAAACAGGTTGCTGCTGCCTATGCTTGCAGATTTATAGTTCACATCTATGTGGACAGTTGTAAGAAGGCTTAACATGCACCTTGCAACTCTGACTTAGATATTCATCTCTCTGCATCACCCATAGATGTCCTTTCAAGACTCAAGCTTCTCCCTGTTCTGTACACGAATACAAGACAAAGTATATTCAGTGCCATTCCAGTCCTACCTCAGCCAGAGGACCCAAGAAGCAACTGCTCTTTGAAAATGAGCAGCTTTCAAAGATTTGGAAAGTCCTGAAAGATGAGTCCGTAGTAGTCCCACTGAACTCAGTGGACTGCATGCCAGAAACTAAGAATTCAGTTCATTTATCAACTCCCAAGGGTTAAAGTGTCCTATTTAGTTAGTGAAGAACTCTTTTTTTGTGTGTGGAGCAGGCTGCTCCACTTGCTGCTTCACTTGACAGCAGTCAGTATAGTTCCTACTTCCGTGAAGGCTCTTCGTGCTGTGATGGAGTCAAATAGTAGAATTTTGTAATAAAAGTAGCAATGATTAGTATGGAAGCAGTAAAAAAAAATAATTATTCTCCATCCGAATACTGCAGAATATATGCCCAAGTACAGAATATGACTGTCAAAGAACTCATGATCTTATTTGTCACTGAACATGAAAGGCCTGGGTCACTGAGTAAGATATGTTCTATTGATGCTCATGATGACTGCATGGGCTTAAAAAATTCTAACTCTGATGTTACCCAGTGCATTTGCAAATGAGTACTGCCAATAAATAAGAAGCTGCAACCACAACGTTTACAAGAGTTTGGAGAAATGTGTGTGAAACGGAATACATAATTCACAGAAAGCCATCACGTTCCTCCCTCTCCCTACCCAACAAACAGATGGGTAAAAAAGCCACACAGACAATGAACCTGTTGAACATCATCTATTTGCATCTGGCAGAAGGAACTGATAGTTAAATATCTAGATTGGCAAGACTTACTGTGAAATACATTTTCACTACCATGTGGAGACTTCTTTTATCTCATTTTCCTCATTTTTCCACAATCTTTTCAATTATGACTGCAGTGACAAGGGATGATGAGAGAGTAAAATAAAAATTCATTATCCCTTCTGAGCACTTAACGCTGTCTACATACTTACACTGAAGAAATGGAACAGAAATTTGGTTATTTCAGTTTTTCCCCAGAATAAAACATTCTGAAGTCTTTTGCAAGAAAGATCTTATATGAGGAGTGGAGATAACAGATAACACCCTAACTGCAAGAAGGATAATAAACTCATCTGCTTAAAGAGCTTCTGAAGAGTTCCGAGATCACAACAGGACAGTAAGATCTGAAATTGCTTCCAGAAGTTTAATCAGAGGCATATTTTTAAGTAGGAGGAATCCAGGAAGAAGTAATTTCCTTGAGACTGAAGGTAGGTTCAAAGATTAACTGCAGGCTAGATCACAATTTCTAGTACCATGTCTATGAGAGTCAATCGAATAGCCAAGACTCAGAATGTTGAAGGAAAATGATATTACTGAGAACTGGACTGGTACGTGGATTGTATTAAGGATAATCATGCAGTAGAGAATGTCATGAAGATACTTAGCTTTTCCACTATAAAGTAGTGTGATTTGCTACCAGAAGGAGTTCCCAAAGTTTGCAACAACTTGATATTTAGGCAAAAGTTCAGTGGAAGAACTACAAATGCTGGTGAAAGGCTTCTGTAATTTTGCAAAAGTTGACAAATATTCCTGAGAAAGAACTGGAAAAGGAACTCAATTTTTGCCAATGCTTCCATGGTACTAGATCAAGAGTTTCAATTTCTGCAGTGAACAGGGGGCTTGAGGTTAATTGCCAAGTTCTGAGCCAGTCAGCTCAGCTGATAAAACCAGTTCTAAAGAAGAAGAAAGAGCCAGAAGAGCCAATGGGTTAGATTTCCAGTTAACATGGCTAATGCAGGCACTGAATGCCACATATTATGGAGTTCAGCTGTCATAAGGATTGGCATATTTCCTCATGGCCTAAGAGCTGCTACTGGAGAGTTCCTGTCAAAGGAAAGATTAAAAGGCAATGGCTGGTTGCTAAAGACAAGCAATGGAATATACATGTACATAATTTGAATGGCATGATTCAAAGATGGAGCAACTAATCCTAATGATAAATAACTGAAATCAGCTATATAGCCATGCTGGGGTGCACATAAAATTCTTTGCACCATAGAATTTGCAAATTATTTTTCACTGTGCTGTAGAAATAACATCAGCAAGAACAGACAGCAAATAAGTATTTCTTGCTACAACAATTAAATATTTTGCAAGCTCATAAATAAAACATTAACAGTACAATGATTTACACATCCCTGCTGCTTTATTTTGTAAACATTAGTTCCTTCTCTGTATCTATAAATAATATCAAATCTGTTCAGTTACTTATTCAGCTAAATTATCTGAGCCATATCACTTTTCCTATACCAACACATGGAGGTATTCCGTAAGTCAAGATCTTGTCTGCCAAAGTAAAGCAACATTGTCCTTCCTAAGAAACTTCTACAAACACAAGAAGGGTTTTACTCTGAGAAGTTAGATGAGGTGTTGCGTAAGACACCACCACGGCTGCCCAGTGGTGGCTGCTGTATTATTGCTTTAACAGTACCACTACCAGCTGGGAATTGTTGCCACAGAGAGCTCTGGAAATTTTATTGACATTTTGGACATTTTGAGATTAGAGGAACTACATATACCTTAAAAAATTGCATTTTATATTTTTTTTTGATTGATTTATGTCTTTTCTATGAATCAAAAATTCTGTGCTCCAAAGGACAAGAAGGAACATGTCAGAGTGATCTCACAAAATTTTTCTTCCATTATCATTTCTCCTCAGATTTTAACACAGGGTGGATCAACTGGATCACTTGTATTTATTTTTAATCAGCAATGAAATTCTGCATAATGCGAGCACGTGGTCTTCAAACCTACTCAAAGGTACAAGTTAATCATGTCAGACAACAAAAAAACCAACTGTAAATATCTTTTTCATTGTTTAGCATTATGTAACTGTTAGCCTTTTATATGTGATAGTTGTACTAACAAGAAGTTTCTGCAGAGTACCTGTGGTGATGCTTACCTGGCTACATGATTAATTACAGGGGCAAAGTTTGTTGGTCCATAAAGCTGTACAGATTTCAGACTCCTGTAATATGCCTCCATTACACCATCAATGCCATGGCAGTATGGATTTTGAGGGTTTCCATTCTAATGAAAATAAGAGATGATTTATCACTGAAAGCAATTATGAAGCAAAAATGCAGTAGGTTAGTAAACACTACCCAGTGTACATTTTTAAATGGCAAAGACCTAAGCATTCTAGGACCTATTCAAGAGAGTATAATACTCAATGTAAGTGCCATGGTTGGCTGTGAGTCTTAACTGCCTAGGGAAACATGTTATATGCAGTCTGAATCACTGGCACTGGCTCCTAGACATAAGTACCATCTTAAGTGGAATTAAAGTCTTGCTTATATGCAACAGTAACAGGCATTTCCCTGTGTGGATTTAAGGTATGAGTTACAGGGCAGATGTAAAAATAGTATGTTTAAGAGCACAGTTCTGGCTCAACGATTTCTTATTTTGAAAATGTGAAAAAATAAATGGTAGCCAGATCCTGATGTTCATACACTATGTGAATGTAATGTAAACTATAAATTGTTCATTGTTTTGGTATAGTGTTTCTGCATTGGAAAACCATTTTTTGACCTGTTATAAACAGATGAAAGGAACTTATTCTTTGGGAATCCACTGAAATGGCTGGGACCGTAAACTCTTTGGTTAGGCATTTTGCTACCTATCTCCATAATGACAATACTTATTTACATATGATAATACAAACATATAAGCTAAATCCCAGATTAATGACCCATGTCAGGTCAGACAAATTATCCATGTAAGGCTTCAAAACCTTCCAAATCACCTTATTCTCCTTTATGCATCAACACCTCATTGGCTTAATGTGCCAGTATCTCATTCTGAAGTAGAGTATACCTCTGGAGTCTAGCAAAGTAAAAGGGATTTTTCATGGAATTGATCTAGAACACTAGAAGACTGTGCTGAAGACACTGCTTAGCAATAAACGGGAGACACCTATATATGTTTAGATACGGAGGAAGGAAAAAGACTGCTTTTTCTTCTGTAAAAGCACCACAATGTCTCATGAATTAACTGTATTAATTTTAGAAACAACTTTTAAGTAGTCAGGAATAAGCCTGCTGTTTTAATAGCCTTAAGATTATATGTATCAATATATTTGAACTCACTACACAGGAGACCAAAGAAAGTCTGTGATTCAAATTAATATCTGCAATTGCACCTGTTTTAAATTACTGTCCATGTGGAAAACCTTTCCTTGAGATAAGATGTGCAATTGTTTTCTAGCACAGGGTGACTGAAGAAATACACATCTACAATCACCAGTCTTCTGCCATGTCTTTGCTGCTATCTAATTAAAACTTACCTGATATACCTACACTTGCGTAATTCTGACAACTTTATTCTCAGAGAAGAACATAAAACTCAAAATAAGCAAGTAGATAAACATCCATGCTAATCACAAGCATCAGTTATAACACATCAACCTTTCTGGCAAATCCTGCTAGATTTTAGGTTTGTAATTTAATGGGCACATGAACCAGTCTCAGATTTGCTCATCACCTCAGCTTATAGTCCACTTAGTTATCTCTACGTCTCTAAACTAGCAGCCCGTAAAAGATAAAGAGATCTCAGATAATGAGAGAGAACAAAAACAATAATAATGAAATACTATCTTGGATCATGATTCACTGGCTTCTTAAGATAGATTAGCTTCATTCTGAAGTCTTTCAAGCATCTGTTTCTCATGCTGCTACAGCTGAGGTTAAAGATGATTACTTTTCTTTATTACTATTTTTGGCCTGCAGGGACTTCTTGACTGGATTTCTCTCAGTAACTTCACTATGATGAACAATTTTGAACCAATCTTTTAGACATAATAATTAGCACATTCTCTGCTCTTTACTTATCCAGTAATTGCTTAAGACTGCAACCTTAACTCCCAAAATTTTGTTGTAGTAAAGAAATTTTAAAAAATTATAAATATTTACTTACCAGTGCAAATTCATGTGATACTCTTCCATCTGGAGGCAGTCTAGCTCCAAAACCTAGAGCTGGGAACATTTTATCACTATCATAGTCCTGAATTATTTCACCTACTGCTTTCAGTGCCATGCCATAAGCATTCAGCTGATAGGGATTCATGTAGTGCAACGAAGTAGGCTGTGAAGGGTTACCTGTTGAAGCAACAATCTGATTTACTTTAAAACTGAATAACTTCAAAATTTTCTCAATTAAAGATGACAGAAATCTAAGAAAGCAGAAATTAAAAAGAAGAGACCATGAAAAGAAAATGAACTTATCTCCTATATACATAACTGTGGTTGTACCAGGTAAAAATGCAATGTTCTGAACACATTTTTAATAGGTTAACAGTAGAAGCTGAAATCTGTTTCAGCACTGAAAGGTCAGCAAGAAATTGTGATTAGACTTGTACCTTTGTGTAATTTTATAACATCATATACACTTTCAAGATGAAATTTACAAAAGTATTATGACATTCTGAAAGCAACTTTGGAGGAGAATCAAAACTCATCTCTGCTTCACCCCACTTCAGCCTCACTCCACTTGAAACTCCTTTCTCTTGCCCCTCTTAACAGGGTCTTCTGAATTAGATAGTTTTATCCTACCACTAATTTTAAAAAAATCTGAAAGTACACAAATATTTGAAAACTGCTCCCACTTTTCCAATTTTTATCTGTTCTTATTGCTCCGCTTTTCTGGACAGGAATTGGCCTCTAGTCTGTTGTTCTGCAAAATGGAATCCTGATTCCAGGTGGTGCCAGGCATACAGATGATCGATAATACAATGAAGTCAAATACTGATATAGATACATACATAGACACACATATGTACACTTAAAACTGAACACAGCACATGCATACACAAGATGTTTATTTTTATTCTTACCATTTGAGGCTGTGAAATCAATAGCTACTGTGAAATTGATTTGGGTTCTGCAGAAAAGGCAAATACAAATCTTATTAATAGTTTTACTGTTATGTGGAAAAATAAACAAGAGATGATAACATTTGTGGACAAACTGCAGGACAATGATTTTCTAATACAGGAAATAAACACTGAAAATACTCTTTTATAAGGTTCCATCCAAGAGCTACACAACACTATTTTATAAGACAGTGAAAACAGTTTCTTTAATTAATCCTTCCTTTTTTCATTGTTTATGAAAAATCTTAAACATTAATAAGGTTATTAACATCCATAAACATTACAAATTCAACAGTAATAGTTATTTTTCCTTGGACATATTTTAGTCCTAGTCATAGAAGACTTTGACAAGGGAAGTAGGCTTTTACTAATCTGCTCCTTTTCTTAATATTAAAACTGTGTCTTCAAGCAGAACATGTTTGAAATGATGCTATGCATAAAATCTTTGGACAGGATATAATAGTTTTTGGCAGTGTATTTCCTTCACATGAACATAGTCAATACTTTGAGTGAGCATAACAAGGTAATTTTGGAAGACAAAAGTAAAATCTGGAAGCAGGATATAAAGACTGGTATTCGGAGCAGTAGTTAAATAAAGCCATTATTGTCCATGTATCAGTTATTAGCATAGACTTATTGTCAGAAAAATTAATAATTAATAGACTTTTACAGAGTGACAATCCAATTAAATACAGTTCTGTTCCACAACTTCCTTCAAGACAAAATACCATCATTCTGGAGATACTCTCTTAGCTAGTAAGACTCTATCAGAAAAAAAGAGTTCGTATGAATTTGAAAATTGACTTTTTGCTCAGATTGAGTCTTTTACACTGTCCCTCAAATTTCTGCCTCTCCGTGTGTGCAACTATAATGACCAAGTTAGCAAAGTTTAAAGCTCTTTGAAAGTTACTGAACAGATTCAACTCATGCACGTTTAGGTTAAACATCAACAATGTGACACCTGGTCTTACAGTAGCAGTTTTACTGCTCAAATAACCTGACGTGCCCAGAGAAAATACAATTTATTTCATAAAAAGCTGGGCACGAAAAAAAATCAGACAGAATCATTTTATCATACGGATGAAGGCTAACAAAATCTAAGCTAGGTTACAGGTGGACTCTCTCCAAAAAGTGGTAAAAGCCTACCAATGCCCACAGTATCAGGAAGACTCCTTGGAATGTGGTCAAAGTATATCTAAAAAAAAATCTATGGCTTCAATATGGACTTCAACAAAAAAACAAAAACAAAAACAAAACCAAACCAGTGGAAGCTACTGCAATCTGCACTGTGATCGCCCCATGTTTTCAATGACCATCTTGTTTCATATATTATACAACATATGCATGGAGAAAAGGAGGCTCAAGGGAGATCTTATCTCTGCCTACAATTACCTGTAAGGAGGTTGTAGTGAGGTGGGCGTCACTCTCTTCTCCCAGATAACAAGTGATAGGACAAGAGGAAATGGCCTCAAGTTGCCTTAGATTGGACACAAAGAAAAATTTCTTCACTTGGGTTGCTGGGTTGCCAAGCATTGGAACAGGCTGCCCAGGGAAGTGGTTGAGTCACCATCTCTGGAGGTATTTAAAAGATGTGTAGACGTGGTGCTTAGGGACATGGTTTAGTGGTGGACTTGGCAGTGCTCAGTTAACGGTTGGACTCGATGATCTTAAAGGTCTTTTCCAACCCAAGTGATTCTATGACTCTGTATCAGAGACATCCCTCTGAACGTATCTCATGGAAAAGAGACATAGAAGCCTAAGTTACACAAGGCACTAGTGTCCTTTGAGGAAAGGAATAATAAATTGCAAAAAGGTACAAAATAAAGGTCAATCCTCGTAGTCAAAATTAGCAAGATAGAATTAAATCTTTTTTGAACACAAAAACCTGGGTCTTTCAAACAAACAATTCAAGTTAGTACCACTGGAGAAAATATTTTCAAAAGTAGCTGTAATATTGTGAACATGTGTATTTTGTGTGAAAGATTATTAAGAAAAGGTATAAATTTCTCTACTGTTTCACCAGCCATAACTAAAAACTTAATCCAGGAAGGCTAATTTAAAAGCTGTGTGTCATGAAAACATCAGATACAACTACTTTGGAAGTGAAATGTGATGACTGAGAAATTAATCTGGATGACATTTTAAGAAGTGTTTTCACGGTAACACATGTTATTCTAGAACCAAATTAAATATAATGTCCACCGTCCTGTTTTTATTTCTGCTACATGTTTTATTTCTTTTTAACAGACTAATTCTTAGGTTGTATCAACTACACCTTATTACTGTTATTATTAACATATTAACCTTCAACAACAATAACCTCTTCAATGAGATTATTGATTACTCTATTTTGTGTAAGGGACATTAGCTGAAAAATCATTAATTCAGAATAAGGATGATCAAAATTTTTAAAAGCATATAAAACTGAAGTCTTCAAGACAAATTTAGGAGCCTGATTAGTTATGCAAATTTTAAAACACATCAATACAGCAAAACTTATTTTTTCTGATAACAAAATTCTTTGGCTAAGGCTGTGTCCCTGCTTTTCCAGCTGTACGGTTCTCCAAGGCACTACATTAAAAGCTTATGATACCTGCTACTTCAGTGATGTTGTGAGGTCATGAGGCTTTGCAGAAAAGCCACTGAAACATTGTCAGCTGGCTAGGCAGGCTGAGCTACTGAATGTCTTGTCCCAAGGGCAAACTCAGGTGGAATATCCAAGCACAGCAATGTGTGTTATGGATTCAGAGCTGGATAGATCTCTACTACTCTGCCAGAATTTCATTGGTATGGAAAGACATGATCTATTTGATACCTAGACAGGTGATTTTACCCTATACTACCATGAGAAATGAAGAAAATGTCTTAAAAGGAACATTAATCTTCACCTCACAACCACAGAGTAGCCATTTTGTTTGTTTTTTGTGAGAGCAAGGTGAAACTTACCGTCTTTTAATAAGAGCTCTATCAACACCGATATACGCAGGGGAACAGACTAAGCCTGGATGTAGCTTTTGACTAGGCTTGATAAAATTTGTAATTATTATTTTAAACAGTACATTGGAAGGAAGCATGAATTTCCTCCTGCGGCTTTGGAGTGACAACCAGCTGGTTTGTTAGCAGGGGGGAGCTGCTGAAGGTTTGAGGACCACTTATTGCGCAGAACTCTACAACAGAGCTAAGGGAGTAACTAACAGTACCAAGAGGCTGTATCCTCTCCATGACATTTAAATCCCCAGTGACAGTTTTTATAACTTCTCTTTTGCAGAAGCTTGTTTGGCAAAATGCCCTATCAACATAAAGTTTTTTCCGATAAAGGCTCTACATGATCTTCTTCTTATATAGTCTTATTGCTCCTTATCATTCTCCAAGGATACAAGAAATATATGGTAAAGCTTCCAAAATATATAGCTATGGAAGCCCTTGCTTCATAACTGTATCTCACACTATGTTGCCTCTAAACATCAAATATGCATGCCATTACATTATGCCATCAATGATTCAATATAGCTCAGTTAAAAATATATGTCCAAAGCCCTTAGAATTCAAATGTGTGTGTGTGTGTGTGTGTTCATTTTCTAAATCCTGGATGAAGGTGAGGCTTTTAACATGATGGGAGGAAAACATTTCCTCTTGTCTTCCACTAATCTGGGACAGAAGCGATGACTTAATATTTTTGAGTTGCAAAAGGATTCAGCTGAATTTCATGGATTTACAAATGCTTGGAGTAACTTGTTAGCTTACTCCCTATTCTAGTAAGTCAAACAGGCTAGAAACTTCTGCACAGAAATAGCCTTTCTGTCCACTATGTCTTGCAGTTTTTTGGCTCCTGATCTCTCTTCCAGACAAAAACAGAGCAGACTATAAACTAACTTTTTGATGGTCACTCCTGTAAACCAGAATAATCTCAATTGCAACATGAAATTAGAATTTATGGACAAACTTCTACTTCATTCTTCAAAGCTCTTTAAAAAAACAACAGTCATATTGATGATACTTATAATGGAATATCCCAATTAAACAGATGCAGACTCAAAACATAAATGAAATCGATACTGTAATCCCAATTTGTCACAGTTAAAGCTGTCAAGATTTCCATTAAATCAGTATTAGTTCTAGACACGTCAAATCAATTACCACACAAGTTCTGAACATGAAGTATTTCATAAGCATCCATTTATGTAAGAGCCAATACTGTGACTACTGCAGAATCAGTGTTTTCTTCCCCTTGCCTAACTAATGGAAGAAAAACAGGGAACTAAAAAACAATTTTGGAGGACACACTTGATGGGAAAACAGACTGATTAATGACAAAATCTACTCTTCCCCCTTTCTTCAAAATCTGCCAACTGGACTGCAATTGATACGTACTAGTATTAAATGAGACAAACAGAAGATAAGAAAGTGACTCTGGGTTTCAGTCTCCTGGTCATGTTTACAAAACTGTATAGGTTGCAGAAAGAAAGGTAACATTTTATACAAGCACTTCTACAGTTTTCACTGGTTTGTACATAGAAATAACTGTACGAATCACAAAACAAGATTCTATATACAATAATTAAATGATAAGTATTACTGCTCACACTTTTAAGCGCAGAGCATTCTACTGAATTACACTCCTTATATCAGAGATGAAAAAAAAGTTTCATCAGTAGCTATTAATATCACAAGTCTTCTTTGACTTGTAGTTTCAGAGATCTATACAAAATATCAATAAGAACAAAGTATTATTTGTATTCAAAATTTCTGTTACTTGTCCATAGAATGTAGATAATTAGGTTTATTAACTTGTAACATCTCAGTGAGACATGTGATTGACCACCCTAAAAATATTACATATGTACCCACTATATTATTTTCAAATTTAAATATAAAACTTAATTCTTCAGTTCCTTATACACACTCTTCTCATATAGATGAATTTTGAATGAATGGGAAATAAGATGGTTGTGGCATATATGTACAACACACTTAAAAAACCCAAACAGCTACCCTAGAGGTACCTAGAGGTTCCTTCATGCAGTTGTGTATACATATACTTCATTTGGTACAAGCTTTTGGTAAACAGGGATAGATGGCCATTTTCTACTTCTGTTAAAGTCCACATCCAGAACCTTGATGTTCTAAGTAGTCTTCTGTTATCTCAAGTAGCTGTCTCTCTGTTACTCACAGTGATTCAAAGCAGGCACAACCAGCCATACTGATCACTGGAAAAGGACTCAGAAACATAGAAATTGCTGGTTTCCTAACCATGGCAATCTCAGTGCCTTAGTAACAGCCTGTCAAGCAAACGTGATGACAGAATTCTTTACAGCATATAGCCAACATATTCTTCAGATGTTAAAGATGCAGTAGTACCTTGACAGCACACCTGACCTGTATTAAGAATTTTAACCTTTGCTAAACTGTAATAGTCAGCAACTGAACTAATTCCTCTCTGAGAGAATGCAAATTTAGACAAGAAGTATTGCAGCAGCAGTGTTTCCAGTTAACTGAACTGGAGGTAAGGATAGCAATTCTAGAAGAGCTTGATAGTTTGCAGTCCAGAAGCATCCTGGAACAAAGTGTAGGGGCCCTGAGGGTACCAAAAAGCCTTTTAATGGCCTTAAACAAACTCACCTTGGCCCTCCCACCACACATTCCCCCATTGTCTCAGGAGCCCCATTTCAGCTCAGCCTTCAGTCCCTGCCTGAGCTACATCAGAGGAGTACGAGTCTCCAGCTCAGCCCCTGCATGGCCGTTGACTCCATTGATCCAGACCCTGACCCACAGCCTGACTTCCTGGCTTGACCTCCCTGCCTTGTCCACCACAGACCTGCCCGACAATCATTAGACCTGATCCTGACCCACATCTGTGGTTTGCCTTCCCAGCCTGACCTTGGTCTGCCTCATCACTGCAAACTTCCCTGATGATCTGGACTCTTAATTGAGCCTGGCCGCCACCTCTGGCCTGTCCTGTTTGCCTTGCCCATGTACTGTACAACTGGCAGCTGGCTGGTGAGACTCCACCCTGCCAGCCGTGCTACCCAGCTCCGCTCCCAGCTCCCCAGCCATGCTGGGGAGAGATGGCTGCACCCTGTCACAGCCTCTTTCCTCCACTAATGTGTCCCACTATCCACACGCCTCAATGATGATCCTATCCAAATGAGAAAATACGTTCAGCCATCAAAGTGCGAGCAAATGAGCAAGTCAAATCACAAATTTCTCCAGAGACATTGAATAAGAATTTTAAAGAGAATACGTCTACATCCATGTTAAAAACCCTATTTAAGCATTCCCATTTTTAAATACTATGTATAAAATACTCTTGTCAGGTTTAATCTTAATGAGGCAAAAGACACAGTGTTTTGAGATATGTAACAGACTGAATTCACCCTTATGAAAATATTGATTTTCTTGGATGGAGATTCAAGTGAATTTGGATTTTCTAACTTTAAAATTTAACTGTTTGAGAGAACTGAAACATCAAAGAGGCTGTTAGTCCTTGAGAGAGAAAAAAATTATACTCTGCAGCAGCCCATGGGTTAGGGTCAACAGTTTGGAGTACCTCTTAACAATTACCCATTTCCTCTGCAAGTTATCAGTTCAGTATGGTGCACAGCCTCAGGCTGCAGTTTTTCAAAACCTTGAATGCAATGGCAGTCAAGATAGCTTACTGACAGTTTCTCTGTAGCTAAAAATTATGATTGGGGGTGTCACTTTAACTTAATGAACTTCAGTGATGAATGTGTTATGAACAAACCTTAAGCACATTCTCATCTGTACGATTATCACTGTTGGGAACAAAGGCAAAGCCCTATTTTACGACTGCCAAAACGCAACATTTTTTATTTCAGCTGAAGCCTGGTTGAAGACTGGCACAAAAAAAGTAAATTGCTTCTTTGCAGGTAATCAATGCTCTAAAATAAATGCGGGATGTATATTCAGATGGTATGTCTCAAAGATCCATATTAAGTGCCTAGGAACATATAACAAATTATTTCTATTTATTTCAGAGAAGAATTCTGTTCTGGCAGAGAGGTTAAGAGCCCAGAATTTCTGAGATTTGATCCCATTTCCAGGTATGTTCTAGGGTAAGCCATTTGATGCTTCTGTCTCTACTTCCCTTTTGGGAAAATGACGATAAATGAGAAGTTAAATGTTACAAATTTTATGTAATTACTGCTGAAAAAATGTCTTTGAAGGGGAAATGCTAAAAATAAATGCCAATATTAAATACACCAAAGGTCAGTGTAATCAGAAGAAATAAAACAGCATTTTACTAATTTAATAGTATATAGATAATTCCCTTTCAGTTAATCTAATTTTCACTGGCTGATCAGATGTCATTACTCAATCTGTGTTTTAGTAGCAACACCAATTCCAAAATTATAAGCGAAGTTCCATAACTTAAGTCAATAACTATCTGCAGGTTTTATTTGGGAAAGTACAGCCCTTTACAGATACTATGTAGAGTCATCATATGCAAAGTACATATACAAATTATTAGTGGATTACAATTGTAATGAAGAGAAATTGTGAAAATAAAAAAGGTTTGTTGCCAATCACATACCCGCCTTTAATATAGTCAAGGAATGAAACTTCTGTTTCAATTAGGAAGGAAAGCAATGTTACCTGTAAGCAAATAAAAGAGAGTCAGACATGAATTGTCATTTCCCAGTTGAACAAGTAGAGACATAAGCACAATGTTTTTGGAGCTCTATCCTTAAGATGTAATTTCCTACAGTATTTAGGGGAAAAAGAAGATTTAAAAAAATAGGAAACCATTTCAACAGGCAGTTCTTGAAAGGAAAGAGAAAAATTTGGAAGTGTACTACAACTGTGTCGGTTTTTTGGTTTTTGGGTGGTTTTTTTGTTGTTGTTTGGGTTTGGAAGTGGTTTTTTTTTTTTTTTTTTTTTTTCATTTTGTTGTTGTTGTTTTTAAAGCAAAAGGTAACGGATGGAAGATTGTATTCCAGGGCAGGTTACCACATGCATGTCTTCTGATCACTGTGAACTACACCTACACATGAACATTAGAGGCTAGATGAGAATGCATCTATTCTGTGAGTACTTCAGCATTGTTTAAAGAACTCAGTTACAATTATCTATGTCATTTCTCATCTCACATTAAAAGTGGTATTGAATATTGATGTAAGCCAAGAATGCAAAAATCTAGTAAATGATACACATATATATGAAATATATAAAGAATTTGAAGTGCAATATATAACAAATGCAAAGATAAGAAATTTCTTCAGTCCCAGCTTTTATCATTCAGTAATGACACAAGTCCAAAACACAGACAGTGGTCTAAAGGTGTTACTGGCATTTCCAGCACTCGAGTCACAGAAGTATAAACTCAAGTGGAAAAGATCCAGCATTTAAGATCTTCATATACTGCACACCATTTATGAAGCAAAGAATTCAATACAAATTTTTTTTTTTTATTGATGAAGTGACAGAAAACTCTCTCACAATGTACGGGTACCAGGCAGTCAGTGAAAACTGCTTAAGTAACTACTCAAAGCAAATTCACTGATAATGATACAAGGAAAAAAAGGGGATGGAAGTTTGTCACAAAATTTGATTTGCGTCCAACTGCAGCAAAATATAAAAATTGTAAATATTCCTATGTTGTAAACTTGGGCTCAGAATGAGATTACAAGGAGTAATTCTGCCTTCTATCCTACTTCTTTTTTCACATGTTCTCTTGCAAAATTTAAAACCATCAAATTACCCTTCTATCTGAGAACAGAAGACCATAACAAAGTTCTACCAGACCATCAGTGGCATAGTCTTGCATATAAGACTGAAGTTTCTATTCATTTTCCCACTGGACACAGACATTTTAATGGTTCATCTGTTACTACAGCTGGTCATCTTGTTTCTAATTAGTTTAAGGAAATGTTTTCAGTGAATCTGATTTAAAAAAGTAAAAGCTGGAAACAGACAACACCCTTCCAAAGTGGCCAAAGCGTTTACTTCCATACAGACAGTCTTCCACGTTTTATACAGTGAATTTTAAATTTCACTACTTTGCTTTGTTTGAAACTAATCACGTATTCCGAAACACTTCTGTTTAGTATGTAGTTTGTCTGAACTTAAAATGACCCCTTAAGTAATAATGAATTGAGATGGCTGCTGTATGTGCATAGTCCTTAAGAGCAGCAGTGAGATAGCAGTCAATGATCTATATCCACTTTACTTTAAAGTTTTACAGAATCCAACTTCCTATTAGTGAGAGTGATGGTCTTGGTGCCTCGTTTGAAAATTTAGCAATCGGAGGGATAAAAAATATCTTGGGTGAATGACAGGAAGGAGAAAAAAAAAATTGCAGGCAAACACACAGGAAAGTGACAATTCCAAGCAACAGAAGGGAAGTCTGAAAGACTAACAGAAGTGAAGGCAAATGGTGGCCAAGAGGACTTAATAAAGAAATTACAACACCAACAGTAGAGAATACTGGCAGAGAAGGAAAGAGGAAAGAAAATTGCTAACTGTTTATTGGAAATTTCCATGTAATTTGAGACAGACATGATTAAAATATGTTCTTTTAAATGCAGATACACGTGAAAGTGTTAAAATATTTAAAATCAAAATCAAGAGGAAAATTTAATATGTAAATGTATCTTTTGCTCTTCTGCACCCTAAGCCAGATTTCATACCTACAATTTTTAGTACACTTAATTTAGTATTGATTTAAAATAATCGCTTTTCATAAATTTTTGAATCACTAAGTTAGCGTAATAAGAACTTTATTTTAACACATTAAATTGTAGTAAAAGGAATATGTTAGCAAAAATTAAATTATCTAAAAATCAGATCTTCTACAGTAAATTTTCACAGACAAGCTGCTTCTGCTTATTTTTTTACGATTTAAAGCAGAGGTACAAAATAAGAGTTTATTTTTCTACTGATGAACAGACTTATACAAGAATGTGAGAATGATAAAACATTCCTTCAAGGATACAGTTCAGAGTGAAAGGAGCCCTACTGACTTCAGTGGAACTGTTCATGTGGAAAAAAACCCACATGCTGGATGTGTTTTCAAAAACTGTATCTTATATCTGATTAGGTTTTCCAGTACACAATTCTTCAACATTTATCTTCATTTTTTTTTAAATTATGTTTTGAACATCATGGATGCCAGAACACAGAAGCTCAGAAAGTGCTGAAGGGAATTATTTGCATTGCTAGCAAATGGTTCATGAAACACACTACAGAATATGAACAAAAGGACATTAAACTCTCATCCCAAACTAGACTAACAGACCTTTCAACATAAATTTACAAAAATGTCTTGCAATAAAAAAAAATGACAGCTCTTTTTGGTTTAGCCATGCTAAGCATACTAGCTTTTACTGATGCGAGCTCAGCAGTCAAATTTAAAAAGAAAACTGACTTTTAAAAGTGCAGATATGTTTCAGATAAAAATTAACAATGTTCAGCCCAATAATTTCAAGAAATTGACTGAAATTTTGGTATAACTCAGTTTGGAAATCATTGCCAACTTAACAGCACTCTTGGACACAGCTTTTATCAGACTCCTCAAATTAAAAAAATCTGAAAAACAAATTCTGTATAACAGTAAATAGTTCACTGTTGTGGCCTTCACAGAAGGTTCTAGTCTCATCCTGTTAAATTACAAGTCAACTACATTCTGTTTCAAGAGAAAAGTATCCAGTAACATAAAATATATTTACTTACTGTTCCAGAATTAACATACTTTTTCTTTTTTCCCTTTTTCTTTGGATTTATTACCTGGAAACACAGATACAAATATTAAAGCAGTATGATTTACGATTTAACATGACGGTAAGTGTTAAGACACTTTCAATGCAGAAAGTAATCTATTTTCAGTGGATTCTAAATTTATTCAGCATACTGTTTACTTATGCACCTCAATGCTGGGATATAGGCATATTTGAAAATCAGTGAATTTATCTTCATGGTACTTACTAGGTAAGCCAGTTCTGTTTTTTGCATTTGACAAATAGGAGACTGGGGCAACAGAGGTGAGTGTGTTCATCAAACCTGAGTGCTCAGTGAAACGCTTCTCTGAATTTTCACAGGATTCTGCATTTTTCTACATTCCTGATTCCAGTGTTTCAGTGTACTGTGTCACCACTTTATTTCACAATGCACCTCTTCACACTCCAATTAATCTGTCTGTTTCCATCTTTTCCTCAGTATTATCTGAGAAACGTGAGAGTTGTTCTACTCCTAGTTTCTGTATTTGGTGCAATTACAGGATCTGGCTGACAGGAAGAACAATTGTGAGGACTGATCATACTGCACTAGAATAGAAAGTAGTCAGCTATTTCATGAAAATGGCACAGACCATCACCTGACTGGAGTACAGGAGCTGTGGGGGCTCAATGCACTCCCCATACGTAAGAATCTTAATGGAACTGGACTACAAAGCATTAAACAATTTTCTTGAACTTCTTGAACCCACACCTGTAACATTTCTCACTGTAGCCATCAATAAAAATTGTTTCCCTTCCGAATACCTACCCATTCAAAGGCAAGTCTTAGTTTCATTACATACACATTAAAATGTACTCCTGCCTTTATCAAAATTACACATGGAATTGGAAGCAAAACATTATTTTGTTAATTAGGTTGATCAACTATCTCCTATATAACTGGGGAACTCAAATCCTTGTGGCTTACTGCCAAGTTTTACTGTAAACTACTCACAGATGTTCTGTGAATGACATGGAATGAAAACATTTGCAATTGAAATCTTAGTCACTTAACTGCTATAAAATATTTAAACTGTTTTGCCTGAAAATGGTAAAAATAGTAATACATGTCTTCCAAAAATTCTCTCCCCCCAGCCAAAAAGAAATTACATTTAAAGATTTTATTCCCTGCACAACCCTAAAACGTAAGGCAGAGAGAACTATAATTTCAGGTCTTCCCAAACAGGCTAAACGAGAGTGACTCTCTTTTCCTGTATGCCACGCAGTTATCTGGTAAGTATTCCTTAAAGCTCGTACTGCCTTACATATACATAAGCCCTTTAACACTTAAAAAACCCCAAATAACCACTGTACCTCCTATTAACAGTGTCTTGACTGGTGGGCAATGGATTAAATCAGTGTAATGGTGGTTTATAAACAATGAAGTAATTCTTGTTAAACCAGAATCTTAGCCAGAAAGTGACTCTTGCTGACAACTGCCAAGAAGAAGAAGATGAAGGTAACGGACTGCCTCCCTGCCCTGTGGCCCTTCATTCACAACTCTCCAGAGTCCAGTAGTCAGGCCTGAGTTGGCAGGATATTTCTTGCCAGCAGTCATTAAACGCCAAAAAGAAGATTCATCTGAACCTTCTGCTTCAGGTAACTTGACAATTGGCTTCTTAGGAATTGCCAGGAAATGCACTAGAGCTTGGAATGAAATATGGGAAACAAGGCATCTACTTGGGATCAAAGATGAATTACATCACAGCTTGTCTCTCTCCCATAATTTCAAGTACTACAATTATTATAATATTTATGTGTTTTTTCTCAAATTTCACATAACTTTAGAAATAAACCAAAATTTTTTAGCCTCTGAAAGTCTTCCATCCCTGCGGTAACCTAGGAAGCTAAATGAACTCTTACCTATTAAAAAAGGTTAATTGAAAAGAGCTTGTTATAGCAACGTTGCTAATCTGAAAATACGAGACACCCACTCAAACACATATTTCTCTACCTGCCTTGGGTTGGTTTGTAAATACAAAACAATTAAAAATTAATTTTTCTACTCTCTTTGTCCTGATATTGCACAGACTGATCAAGTAGAAGCAGTACCAAAGTACGGAGGATTGCAATGTGGGGAGGCAAAGAGAAGATGCTGAGGAAATGTATGCTATTGCTGGGAGTATGATATTGATACTATATTTAAGAAACTGCAAAATGACTTAAGATGTTATGACAGAATATTCCTGGTAGGGTAGGAGACATGTCAGTGACACAACAGGAGAGGACATTTTCACTGCACACAGTAATCTGTGCTGTGACACTATCCATAGGAAACTGCTGTAAATTACAGTAACTCTGGGGTTGATCTTAGATCTAAATAGGAATTAAAAACCCATGGCTTTCAGTTATCTTTGTCCTGCATTGAACGGCAGCACTTTTGCTCATCTTCAAAATAAAAGTGCAGCACATAATTGGAGCACCCTCCCTCCCACCTTGCATTAGTGCTTGCTTAAACCATCATATTTGTGATCACCTATGTTAGGAATATGAAATTTTACAAAATACTGAAGTTTAACCACAGTAGTCTGAGACCAATTAAAGGATGGCTTAAGGAAAAACAAAGATTTGCACACCATACAGAAAAAAACCCAGGCTATGGCCACGTAGGCTTGTCTTCTCATTATTAGCAAGAATATCTTCTCACGGGGAAGAAAAAACACCTTGCAGTTTCTGAGGGACACCGTGCATGCAAACTGCATGATGCTTGAACTCATGGTGCAAATACAGAAGCTGACCTAAATCCTTCAAAAAGCATACCTAAAACCTGGAAGACGGTCTTACGCAGTTATTCTGAGGGACAGAAGAGGTCTTGAAATTAAACTGTCAACCAGGATAACAGTAAGTAATTAGCTGGATTTGTCTTACATCTGAATCACCCTTGGGGGAAGCAGGACTGAAAGAAGTTCCAATCATGGGATTAAAATTGCATCAATAAAGATCTTGCAGACAGGCTGGTCAGGAGTTTCACCAATCTGGACACATATGCCAGGCTAAATTCAGGAATAGACTCTCCTACAAGAATGGACAAAGACAGAACAGAATCACAGTCCTCAGGGAGCTGGTCATGGAACCATCCCAAAAGCAACTATAGTCCATATGAACCCAGAAGTCACTGGGTGGCATCATGTAGTATAAGTGCCTGTATTACCTGCAGTATAATTTGAAAGCAAATCAGCTGTTAATTTGAAAGAGGAGAGGCTCATACTAATAAGACAATGTTAAAGGGAGATTTGGTGGAAAAAGCTACTCCTGTTTTTTTTGGATGGCACATATGACCATTTTCGATGTTGGGGAGCCTTAGACGTTACTTTCCCCTGGGGAAGATGGGGAGGGAGGGATAAGCTCAAAATCTTGGCTTCTGGTAACACTGGAGATCAAGGACAGAGTCCCTAAAGAAATACCAATAAAAATATCACACACACAGTCCCACGTAGAAGCTGGGAAGGAGCTCCAGAATATGAGAAAGAATAAATACTTTTAGTGCCTTATTTTTTCTTCAGTTCCTATACTTGGTCTGCATTATATAAGACAAGGGTTGAAACTGCTGATGCAGTAAGAGGACCCATTTTATTCTACTAGAATTTCTAGAGGGTGGGAGGGCTCTGTCTGTGATGACATTTTCCAGGAGAGGGCTGCTTTTAACTAATCCTGCTGGCAATCAGAACTAGGAGTGGGCATTTGTACTGTGGTGTGATGACCGTAATCTATTGCATGAGAATAAGAGTCAAGGTCTAACCCAAAAGAGCAAGGCTCCAAGAGCCAAGGCAATTTCTAGTAGGATGCACTGTCATCTTTCCTATCTTTCCCTTAGGCACTTTGGCAGATGCTGTATTTTCCTGCATGCTCAGTACTCAGTTGATACAAACATCTTGTAAGTTCTTGTATGAATGCTCATATTCAGAAATGAAAGACAGCAAGAATGGAAATAGAATTGTCTGAGACAGACAACAAAAAAGTTAAGTTAAAAATAAACCCAAGAAGGCTCTTTCCAAATCTCGCTAAGTGAGGCTACGAAAGACCTACAGAGCAAAACCTACAGATTCAGCACTTTACCTTAGAGAAACTGAAAGTATCTGGCACAATCTATACACTTTGTCTATGAGCATGTGTGAGATGGAGGGTGCTAAAAAGCTTTAACACAAATGGCTGGACATATGCGTATGTATGTGAGAATGAAACAGAATGTATTTTCCCCCAGGGGAATATACAGGTGCCTGGTACACAAGTATTATTTCCATGTGAAAATCGCTACTCTTGAGCCAAAGTATCTCTTTATGGTAACGCTGCTCTAATTAAGTAAAGCACCTGTTCCCAAACACCACCACCACATCAGGATCATGAGAAAGGTGTGGGGTTTTGTGCAAAAGCATGAAGAATGCCTAGTATCAGAATGGTGAATTAGATCCTTAGGTACTGTTGTGTACCTAAGCACTAGGCCACTGCTGGGTGAAAAAGGAACAGTAAATTGAAACACAGGGCAATCAGGCAATAGTCATATCACCCAAATTAGGGGTAATACTTCCTGGCTCTTGTACACAGACACACACACACACACAAAAAAAACCGAGGTGGAACTTGAAACACTCCACATTGTTTTACCATGGGAAAGAAACCAATTCCTTTTACATGATGCAACACAGCACAGACACTTGACACAGACCTAGATAAGCCAGTATGTGTACACAGCATAGTGTAGGCAGACTTCCTACCTCTGGTCCTAAAAGGAGGATAACCTTGTTATATCAGCACCACTGGACACAGACAATCTAGGGTGAATTCACTAGCTCAGATGCAGCATAACTAACTGACTGGTACTGCTTCTAGCTGGGGAGCACCTTCAGAGTATTTGAAGTTACAGCACTACACACTGCTACCTACAGAAGATAAAGCTGAAGTGATCTAAGTTACACATAAAAATAATGGGGACTCAGAACTGAAAATGAAATTTCTTGGATCTACAAAAAACATAAGCTGGAGTTTAACACTGCAGAATGTAATATATTTACTTAGGAAGAGTCTGTAAGTTGACACTTCTCAGTGATAAAATACATTTTAAATCTTTTCTTCCTATTGCCTCTCCTTATTCAACACATTCTGAAATTTCATGATACATTTCTCATTCCAAACTGAGATTCTTCTGGGATATTAATTTAAAAATGAAGCTTTAATGCAAGAGTCTTAATGCTTAGACTTTTTTTTTTTTTTGAAGTCAATTTTGGTACCCAAATCTGGGATAATTTTTAGAGGAATCTTTCCAAAAGAGAAAAAAAACGCCAAAAATGAGTGCCTTTATGACACTTCCAGTTTGTGCATCTCAGTTTTTTGTTTGCACAAACTCATTGATTGTTTCTGAGACTAAATTACAGCATATTTTGAGATTCAGTAAAGTTTGACCTTAGAAAAAAAAAAAGTTCACTTTTTTGCAAATCCCAATACTCTCAGACTAAATTAAGAAAGAAGTCTTAAACTAGCGATTTATTAGATATGAAATAAACAAGCCTGCACAATCTTGGCCACTGGACCCTGAGGAGAAAAGAGAAGAGAAAAAAGACTAAGAGCGAATGTGGATGTAGTCTTCATTCCCCTATAATACACAATAAGGTCTTACCACAGTTAGAAGTCTAACAACATAAAACTGAGTAACTGAATTGTCAACTGCCTGTCAATCCCAGTAGCTGACAGATGTAGGAATCCTAAACTAGAAATGAGATGCAAATTTTTAAGCAAAGATGGTAACCAACCACTTGAAAAACTCTACCAATAAGTAAGCTAAATTCTCTGTCACTTGTAAGCCCTGAACCAAAACTCTAAAGTCTGTGCTTAAGATCAAAGGCATGTGACTTCATATCTGATGTAGGAAATCATCACATATTCTTTGGATAGGAGAGAATAGCATACAACACGTAGCAGTTGGCAAAAGGAGAAATAAATGACAAATTGTTCATACACAAACAGGGGTAACCCAGTGTTTGGTCCAAGTTATGTCATAACAACCCAGCTGGTTGAAGTACTCTTCTCTCCCTATGACAGCCCAGTGTGCATACAAATGCACACATACCTACTTGTCTTTAAATCTTTTTATGAAGCAACACTATCAGATTCTCTGTTCTTTATAAAAGGAGAAGCATGAAATAATTCCAAAGTTTGATATTGACAAGTACTGTGCAGATTTGACCAGTTTGCCATGAAAATACTGCAAGTGTTCTCATTTATTTCCTGGAAATGAGTAAATACTCCCAATACTTACCTCATACACGTTGAACTGAGATTGCCCTCTCGACAACTCTCTGTAACTTGTTGTGAATTCTCCGATGAAGTCGTGGCTGTATAAAGAAGTAAGTTTTCAAATCAAATGCACACCATTTAGTAATTTAAACATGTATTACATCTATTTATGAAAAAGAATAGCACGGCCCATATGCCATTTCCTCCTAGGAAAGGAGCAATGGCAAAAGATATAATTTGCTTAGAAGTCTTTATTTCCCCCTCTGCTGTGTGTTCACTCTATTAGTAATAAAAATGTAGAGATGAAAAGTATTATCTTAAATCTTTCTGATGGCTTCTGTTTTACTTAGCTGCACAATGAGGACTAGACTGCAAATTAGCGCTCTGACCCTAATGCAAGCTTACAGAATCTGAAAAACCAGAGTGGGTTACCAAAGACTATCACCACTTTCTCACTGGACAACCACCAGCACCACAGACTCTGAACTGTGTGAGAGCATGTGACAGAAAGGGAGGTATTAAGAGTGTGAAAGAAGTAACTTAAACCAGAAAAGACCAGCCCTAACAATTTGTGTAAAGGGACAGTGAGCGGTACTTTTAAGGGGAAGACCCAAAGCTTATTTCAGCTGCTATGACTTCTCATCTGGGAGGAGAAAAGCAATCCCCTGACGCTACTCAGCTTATGGTATTCGACCCCCTTGAAAGTAGATCTTAACCTAACACTAAAGCAGTGGTTATCAAGCTTTTCCTTTCTAAATTCTCTTCCTGCTCCAAGAACACATTCAACACTCCTGTGCTGTCACCCATGTTTTGAAAACTGCTTTGTCAACTCTTAACCAGGGTATGGCACACTGACATGGAGCCACTGTGAGCAGGGAGGCCAGAGGGAGTCTAGTGGATGAAGCATCACTGCAAAAGGCAGCTGGGGTCAGGGAGCCCGGGCACAGAAACCACAGGGCTCCCAGAAGTGACAGGACTGCAGGTTCATATCTCAGCGAGGTACCTGCAGTGGAAGCGACTGCTTCCACTAAATCTTCCACTTTGGGCACTATGGTTTGAGGTGCTGAAAATCACTTTCACAACTGTATTAACTTTGATTTTTTTAAATGATCTAAAGGAAAAAAACAATGAAGGCAAGGACAATCATCACCATCACAATATCTCAATGAGTAAGGGGAAAAGTGCAATAATTTAAAAAGCAACTACCTAGCTGGAGAAGGAGGATGAAGATGGAGGACAAGAAATAAGGTGAGAGAGCCTAGAATCTGAGATTTACCATCTCTCCTGCAGTATTTAGATTCTCAGACAAATGTTTCTGTGGCCCCAGGTTAGTGTGATAATATTGACAGCTTTAAAATTCAAGAAAAAAACTTTTCTTCTGCGTAACAGATTATAAATGTCAGGACTGCGAAATGGCTTTTGCACCATGTACCCTAAGTAACAATTCTTCTGAAAGTAGTGAAAAAGCCTTCAGAGAGAAATAAAAACATCAGAGTGTTGCTGATGTGAAGCTGCACATCATCTTATTCTTTCCTTCTGTAAGACCTGTCTGCAAATACTTCATTGATGACACTCCAAAAAAAAAAAAAAAAAAAAAGGAAAAAAAAAAGGTCACTCTGTTTCACAGAATTGGGCTTGTCCAAAGTAACAAAACCAACTTTTGTGACTTTTTATAGCATCAAATATTTTGGGGTTTGTCACAGCTCTTGGAAGCAATAAAAGCAAGTGGTTCACATTTTGAAAATTTTTGTGTAAAAGCTGGTTTGAGACAAAGAAATGTTTAACAATTAATAGTGTTAATGCTACAAAGGTCCTGTATTACTTTTAGCCAAGAAATTTTAAGTTATGTTTGAAAATAAATAAGAGTTAAGACTCTTAACAATGTAATTCATGAATGTGACAGTAAGAAGCTCAACCCAAAGCACCCTGGTGCCATTTTTTTCAAAGTACGGATAACACTGAATGGGTAAAAAAAGGAAAAAAAACCCCTTTAAGACAAGACTGAAGAAGTCAGAGTCAAGTCAAGTTATGAGTCAGAAATCAAGTATATGCACAGTAATGTTGCCTTACTGATTGCAGAATAATCTGCAATATTCAGTGTAACTTGCTTTGCTATCTAGCAGGCTCTGTGATGACCTTTCAAAGGTTGTTCCTGCCCAGTCTGCACATCTCTGTAGCAAACAGATTCAGCATAATAAGGTGACCAGGTAGTGTTAACAGCTGCTTATAAAGAAGGAGTCCATGAAAAATTGAAATTAATATAAGCCGAGTAACAGCAGCATTGTAAAAAAAAAAAAATTGATAGACTAATTCTTGAATGGGATTCACTTCAAATACATTTGACAATGTCAAAGTTAAATTAGGCACTTAGGTTCTTGCTTGGATCACAAGTAAGTCATAGGCACCACCAACTGGCAATTTATTCCAGTTAGGATGGATTCAATCAGACCATTTTCCCGGTAAGATACTGAAGTAGCTTAAATGATCAGTTCAATCTAGTTGTCTGATTTTTACATTGTCTGAAGTTACATGAGATGAGTGCTGTCTCATCTTTATGAGGAATTTAATATGTAAGAGGTCAGTGTTCTGCCTGCTTCTAAATTAAAAAAAAAAAAAGGTAGGAAGCAAAAGGCAAAAAAAAACCCAAAAAACCCCATGTAAATAGTATCCTTCATTTTTTATTTTTTAGATATTAATTTCACAGGTATTCAGAGTGGAATGTGAGCAAAAGCAGATAATCTGTCAAACTGTGAGAGTGCAGAAGCTAATGATTGCCTGAATTCCACCGTATGTTGAAGATTTCACTCAGAATTGCAGCTGCATAGTATTATTTGTCAGATTTCTTCCTTTTCTTTTCAATCATACCTCAGTTTCAGATTTTGGATGAAAACTGGGTTTGATACTTGAATATTATCTTTATTTTTAATTAACTTGGCAATATAATTTTTCATAGATTATTTTTAAAAATACTGTAGTTTATACACAAAAGTGTAAATACATCACATTTTTAAGGATTTAGCAAATCTAAGTGAGGAACAGAGGATATTAATAGAAATTCATCATCACAGCGATGCAGTGATTTTTTGCTAATATGGCTTTGTTAATTTAAATCCCTGTATTTTTAATTGCCAGAACATGTTATTTTGTCACTCCAGGGAATATCTAATCAAAATGAATTTGCACTATCAGGTATTTATAGAGGGTAAACATGTGATAAGAATGCTTATAAATCAACAGGCTTCCAGGGAACAAAAAAGACAAAAGTATAAGCTGAGAAAGCTGAAACTGGGTTTGGACCTTGTCAGCAAGAAAATGAATAGCAGCATAAGATAAATTTGCCTGTTATGATTACAAGATCTACTCAGCCACACAAGCACGATATCATAAGCTATAATACTAGAAGCAAATTGCATTAGCAATATTAAAGACATTACTGTATAATAAATATACTTAAAATTACAAATGCAAGTGCATATGCATATATTTAAAAATATAAACTAAGATTAATAGAAAATAATTAAGGCAGACCAACTTAAAGATAATATAAATCAACACCTTCTGGTATTACATACAAGTTCTAGTACCATGATTTATGAGTACAGTTTCTAACCAAAGTATTAAGATACAAGCTCAGACATTTTTAAAAGAACAAGACGTATCAATCCAGTCTGATAAAAAATAATTCTATCTTGTTTGTCAAAATAAAGGCAAATTGAAAGGCTAATATCTGCAAAAAAAGGGTGCATTCAGTACAGACAGCAAGCTTGAATAATAACGGATTGCCCCTCTTCAATTTAGCAACAGAAATTGCATGTATATTCCACCATCCTCTTTCTAGAAATGGAGTTATTTACAACCCAAGCCTTCCAACTCTAGAGTTTACAACAATATTTTGATTAAGACAGGCATGGAAATGAACATTCAAACCCAATCTGAAATTATGATAAATAATAGATAGTTTCGATTTTGCAATATCTAAGCAAACATGAAGTAGTAATTGCAGGCTCATGCATTTTATCATACTTGAAAAGCAAGTTTCTAAAGCAGTGTTTTAAGCAAAAGAGTAGATTATACAATGGATTATCCCTCTCTTTATGCATGTACATTAACTGATAACGTACTGAGATTCACAAAACCTATTTTACAAACCACAAAGCATTCCATCTTGCTTATTCCATGTATGAATATACACACATCACGTTTGCAATGGGCAAATGCATCAGCATTTACCACAATTGCAGAACAAAACAGAAATGTAGCATAGCAAAATTGTTTTTCCACTACCTCTACCTCTAAATACGGATAAATACCATTCTCTAGTCCTGGTCTGGCCACTATATATTTATACATTTTAAAACATGTATAAATACACATGGATAACCTTAAAGTTTAACAACAGAATTAATGTCTTACCTTCCATCTCTATCCCAGTCGTACACTTCTACTTTAATTGTCCTAAAGAAATGAAAACCACAATCGTATTAAAATATATATTAAAATGTACCAGGATTGCCTTTAATACTTGTATTTTAATAGTATATGGGTGCATCAATTGTGCAAATCCAGAAGGCAGAATTTTCCAGTCATTTCTAATGGGGCAGAAAATAGCAAGTCACTCAGGTTACCCAATATATCTTCATAAATTAACAGTAAAATACAGCGGAAGCTAAGGAAACAATCAAACTCTCTGGAAGTTTGAGATATTTTTACTTTCTGATACTCTGAATTTCCTGTGGTTTTTTAAATAATTGATTCTTTAAACCTTGACGAACTATCAGAGTGTTTTAAGAACCTTAACAAACTGGAATTTATTGTGAAGGTTTCTTTGGTATATGCTATTATCTGGAAAAGGGATATCTACTGTGGGGTAATAACATCTTACAGAAAAAAGCAGTATATCCAAATTTGAGAAGAAGTACGCAGAGATTGAGAGAGCCCTTATAAAACAAAGTTATTAAACAGCGAAGTACAGATTAAAAGCAATGTTCACAATACAAAACAAAGCACATTTCAAGCAGTAAGGAATTCTAGTCCATATATTTTCATTCTTAAATGAAAATAACTACTCCAGAAAACAGTAATACATCAACCTGGCAGACAGTATTAGCCTCTTCTAAACATTGTGCAGGGGTGAAAAATGAACACTCTCTGTCTGTGGCTGCAAAGAAAGAAATTTGTAGTTCTTTACAGACTGCACTTTTCCTCTCTTAAACTCCCCCCTACCTCTCAATAAAGGAGGAAGGTGCTCAACTATCTGATCGAAGAGGACAGAAAAGTGCAGTTTTTTTTTTTTTTAATTCCTATAAAGCCAACAGGAGAGTTGTTTAGTTCTTTCATCAAACTGCACTAGATAAGCATCAGATTATACAGCAAAACCACGACTGTGGCTTCCTAGAATGAAATGGCACAAGCAGATTATGGGATATGGGGGAGAACACAACAGAGGCGGGCTCTGGGTACCAGATTTTCCCAAACTGACAGATTGCCCTGGACACTTCGGCAATACTCACTCTCCTCTTAGTGAGTTAGGAGCTCATGGGCAAGTTGACAAATAAAATGTTAAAGTCTGCCAACACCCAAGTACTCAGTGCAAACACTTTTTCAGAAGGAGAACCAATTAGAATTTATTTCATTTAAATCAGAATCGAAAACCCAACTAGTAAATTATCATACACACAAAATAATATATGGATCTAAAATATCTTTTCACAGTACAAAACAATAACTAATTGGCAAATTTTCAGAGAAACACCTCATGAAAAAAGTTAAGTACATAATGCTTTCACACAGTTTGAGCATCCCTCTGATGAATCTGCCAGTGGCTACTTTGTGAATCAGGATACCAAGACAGGATACAGAAACAGTATAACTAAAAGTATGATCCAATAAGCAAGCCCATGTACCTCCTATGCATTACTTCACATTTGTGAGATTATACTTCTCCTACAACGAAAGGCTCAGAGAGTTGGTCATTCAGCCTGGAGAAGAGAAGGCTCCAGGGAGACCTTATTTTAGCCTTTCAATATATAAAGGGGGCTTGTAAGAAAGACGGAGACAGACCTTTTAGTAGGGGCTGTAGTGACAGGACAAGGGGAAATGGTTTTAAACTGAAGGAGGGTAGATTTAGACTGGACATAAGGAATAAATTTTTTACTGTGAGGGTGGTGAGGCACTGGAACAGGTTGCCCAGAGAAGCTGTGGATGCCCCATCCCTGGAGGTGTTCAAGGCCAGACTGGATGAGGCTTTGAGCAACCTGGTCTAGTGGAAGGTGTCCCTGCCTATGGCAGGGGGGTTGGAACTTGATGATCTTTAAGGTCCTTTCCAACCCAAACCATTCTATGATTCTAAGTCTGGAGGTGTTATTTTTCTATGCCATGTCCAGTTCATTTCAGTCTGGATAGGATTCATTATTATGGATTATTGTAGGATCATTATATAGGATCATTGAATTTACTTACATATATACACTGTAGTAAAAGGTGATAAATGAAAGTATATACTCTCCCCATCCTGGTTTGTTTCCTGTTCATTAATGATTATAATATGCTCTGTAGTATTTGCATTTTAAAAAATCCATCCTTCAAGTATGTAAAATAAGATTGATCCTTTACATGGGAAATTTTAGTTTTCTGCATTTTGTTTTGTTTCTCCCTCATCCATGAAGCAGAAATAGAACTGTCTGTCCTCAGAGGTTCGCTTTACTCATAAAAAAACAGTTCATCTCTGCATTGATCTTCCATTTGCAGCTTTTACATGTGTATAGATTCATAGAATGGTTTGGGTTGGAA